AAGGAGAGGGAGTGTTAGAAACATCAATGAGAGAGAATCACCAATCAGCTGCCTCCTACAATCCTCCTACTGGGGGTATGCCCACAACCCAGGTACATGCCCTTGATTGGAATTGATCTTGGGACCTTTCAATCCGCAGGTTGATGCTCTATCCACTGAGCCAAACTGGTTTTGGCAATATTTCAGACATCTTTAACTCAGTATTTTCAATTGGGTGGCATTTAGAATAGTTGAAATGAAACTGTATCATTTTCTGTGAGCTTTTCAAGGCCTTGGGTTTTTTGTTCTTCTCTCTTTTCTCTATTGGATTTAAAGACTTTATAAATTATAATTTCATTAAAAAAATAACTAGTGCAAAACTCCTCTGAGTTACAAACTTATATCCATTTCATCTTGTCTCTCATATATTTAAGAACACTAAATTGGGATTCTTAATTTTACCCTTCCCACTGGCAATCAATGTGCCATCAGCATGACAAAGAGCTCCATAAAAAGGCAAATATTCAGCCTCTTCCCACATCCAGACCTTCTGAATCAGACACTCTGGGGTGAGGCCAACCATGTCTCATGAGCCCTCCAGGTGATTGGGCCCATGCTGCAATGTGAGAGCCCCTTCACTTAGCTGGCCTATTTTAGCACAACCACTGCAATAGACTCTCATTTGGGCTTTCTACTCCCACACTTATCCCTTCTAATTTATTACCTTCTCAGCAGACAAGATAAAAAAATTTCCCCAAATTCCATCCAGTCACTCCCTTTCTTAATACTTCTAATGTCTTTTAAGTGCACTCAGGAAAAAAAAAAAAAAAAATATATATATATATATATATATATTTTATAAAATATATAAAATATATATATATATTTTAAATATATTTTAAATATATATATTTTAAATATATAATATATATTATAATATATATATTATAATATATATATATATATATATATATATATATATATATATATATATTACCACTAGAGGCCTGGTGCATGAAATCTGTGCAAGGGGCTCAGACATTGCAGCCTTGGCTTCATCCGGAAGGTTGTTTGGCTGACTGGTCTAATTTGCATATTACGCTTTTATTATTATAGATAGCCTATAGGGATCACATGCTCTGGCTCTTACCTATTGCTCTGATTCTTCCTGCTCTCCCTTATGTTAGCATATATTACCCTTGGGCTGAGCTGTTTAAACATGCTTTCAAAAATATGTTACAAATGTGTTTTTTTCCCTAGTTTGAAGCAAACAGCCTGCACCTGCAGAATTTAAGGTGCACTCCCAACCAACCCAGTTGCTCCCCTCTGCCTCAAGCATTTGTGCACCCATCAGATATTTTGTTATCTTCCAAGGTCATCCTGTTATTCAGGCAGCTACTCCAGCTAGCTGGTGCAACCCTGACCCAGTCCCTATAAAAGAGAACATAAACACTCACTCGATGCTGACACCGATACACTGGTCTCAGCTCACTGTGAGAAAATGTAATAAAACTTTCTTAAACACTCAAGACATCTCTTGGCCTGGCTCCTGTTGGCATGGACACAACACCCTAGTCATGCCATTATCCCCATGTTAGCCTTCTGACCTGCTGGGTGGAAGCCTCATACTCCTCACATTGTCTGCTTCTCATCCAGTAGGTCCTTCTCCACACCCATTATACACTCTCCCACCATGCCTATTATATTTTGGAACTTCCATATATAAATCTGCTTACTAGTTTACCACCTAACTCTATTCCTAGACCAGTGGTTGGCAAACTCATTAGTTAACAGAGCCAAACATCAATAGTACAACGATTGAAATTTCTTTTGAGAGCCACTTTTTTAAACTTAAACTTCTTCTAATGCAACTTGTTCAAAATAGACTCGCTCAGACTGTGATTTTTTGTGCAAGAGCCACACTCAGGGGGCCAAAGAGCTGCATGTGGTTTGCGAGTTGCAGTTTGCCGACCACAGCCCTAGACCATTGAATATCTGAGAACAGGGACAGCATTTGTTTTGTTCTCCACTGTTTACCCACTGTTTCTCATAATGCTTATCACATGAGAGATACTTTTAACCAAGAACACTACCACCGAACAAAAACTTGTTGAATGGCTTCTTATGCAGGATAAAATACAAAACAAATAAAATCACTGTTGATGTTAGTTCTTAAAGATAGTTTGCTTTCAAAATGCCAGGTAATGTCTGAAGTTGCTGAATATTGGTTGGGGATTCTTGGTACATGGACAAATTACACATGCCAGGGGTTTATCACTGATTCAGAGGTTGTGTAAGGGAAGATTCATGTGTTATTTAGTCTCCTGCATCTCACAATAGACCTGAACACTTCACTTCTTGCCACAGACCTTTAGTTCTGGCTAACACATCTTGGAATTATTCAGACAGCACCCACTAACAGAACACTATGGGTTATGCTGTTCTGATTGTGTTTTGAATTACTACCCACCCTTTGGGCTCACCTATTAGGATTTGGTTGGTTATTTGTTTGTTTTGCTTTTATTTTCTCTTTTGCTTGGAAAAAGTGCCTTCAGTTCAGGATGCTTTTAGCTTCTTGTTTGGTTTTAGCCCTTAGCATACATCCCAGCCATGGCTGGCACTTGCTGTCCAGCACCATCCATTCTTGGATGCCAGATCGCAATCCTCTGGACTTCACATTCATGTCTGCTCCCCTGGATGATGGACCTCAGGAGAGGGACAACTGGACAGGTACAAGCAGAGCCAGGCAGGCTGAGGTGCAAATGAAGTAACTGGCTGTGGTGACTTCACCAACCACTTATCCCTATGCACAATCCTCCATTCTTAGAAACTACAAACCACACCCATTGTCCTCAAGACATCAATTCCATATTCCACTTCAAGACTTATGCTCAGAAAAAATTTCTATAGCACACAGTAAGGCCATCATTTCAGCTTTGGGAAAGAGATTAGAAGGAATTACCAGGATAGGACCTATTCTAGTTCATTATATGCATCATATTGACAGGTCAATGGGGTACCCTGGTATTTGGTTAAGCGTGATTCTGGGTATTTCTGTGAGGGTGTTCCTGGGTGAGATGAACTTTTTAATTGGCAAACTGAATAAAGTAGATTGCTTTTTCTATTGTGAAAGGGACTCAATTGAAACTGAAGATCTGATAGAACACAAAGACTGAGTAAGAGAGAATCCTATCTTTCCCTGACTGTTTTTGAGCTTGGACATCAGTCTTCTCCTGCCTTTGGACTCAGACTGGAACTTACACTGGAACTTTAGGAACTTGGCTCACTTGGGTCTCCAGCTTGCTGACTGGACATCTCAGAAATTCTCAGACTTCATAAAAGCCAATTCCTAATTATCTATCCATTTGTCTATTTGCCTATCTGTCTGTCTATCTATCATCAGTTCTATTTCTCTAAAGAACCTTGAATAATGCAGGGCCCTGCTGAAAAAAAGAAAATTCTATTTACTGTGATTTCCATGTATATTTATGGACCTAGGAAGCCCTATCCAAAGTACCCAGCCACAGTACCCCTGGTGAACATCATCCCCAAGTTCAATGCCACAGGGAGAGGCCTGCTACAGAACCTGTTGAAATATCACCCAGCCCAGTGCATCTCAGCAGAGACCCTGTAGTGTAACCTACTTCTCCAACTTCTGTCCCACCCCATTCCACTTCCCAGGCTCCAGGACCCCAGCAATCAGGCTGTGGGCAGGCCGATTGCATTCCCTCTTGGGAGGGAAGGACATGTAGGGATGCATGGTGCGCTGAACTCCAGGTGTGCTGGGCTCGGCCAGGGTGGAGATGGCCAGCCTATGTTCTTCATTCCCTGGGAAAGTTGGTATATTTATTTAAAACTAGTAATTCCAAATAATCATTGTAACTATTATTAGAAGCACACTGTTACATGTTCAAATTAAAATATTAAGAAAAAGTGGCTCTGCAGTTATCAGCTAACAGCTAGGCAGGCAAATTCAAATAGAACATAAACAATCTCAGCAAAGTGTAAAAGTTAATCAGACAAGGCCACTCCATTTCTGTGGTGGAACAAGATGGTTCTGCCATCATGTTTGAAACTAGACAGAAACAAGGATACTCTGCAACCACAAAAATAACTAAACTGTCCCTTTTTCCGTTCACATAAGTACTTGCTGTTTCTTTGTTAATAACAGCTCTCACCTATCTTTCATCCTTCCATCTCCTAGATAACAACCATGAAACTTTTTCTACGCCCTAAGAGAATCCAAAGAAAAATGGGCTCAGCCTCCATAAACCTGCTTTACTCATTCAACTCAGCCCAAAGCCTACAGTGAATCCCATTCCATCTCCTTCATCCCGAAGACTCCAGAAGCTTGTCCTTTACTCAGCAAGTTAACCTGATAGTATCAGATGAGCTACTCATAGCCACTGCCAGGCGCACTTGGGCATAACCTTATACAAGGAAGTGGCTGCTTACTTAAGGTCACATTCTACCAGAAGAGGGAGAGGTTATAGAAATGGATCAAATTCCAATTACCCAAAAAATCTCAACAGAAAACAAAGCAACTCACTAAAATGCATTACAAGAGACACAAATGTACCACTAAATAGGAAGGAAAGAAGGAAGGCAGGGAAGAAGGCTAGAGGAAGGGAGAAAGGAGGGGAAGAATGAAAGGAGGAAGGAAGTAGGGGAGGAAGGGAAGAAGGGAGGAAGGTAGGTCTGACAAAGAGATCTTGTGGAAGTATTATTATCTACTAATTTGATTGTTAAGCAATCCAAGCCTCACATTAAATGAGATCAGTCCCATCAGTGCTAGTATAACATCTGATAGGAACTCCACACATGTTTCCTATCATCATCTTTATCATCATCAACACCATCACTCTCAATGTTGTATTATTACCAGTCCCTGCTGATGCCTGTTAACAGGTTGCCTGTTCACTCATGTATACACAAGCAAACAAAACCATTTGCCTATTGAGCAAATCGAAAGCCTGTTCATGTGTCACACAAGCAAAGGAAGAGGACAAAACAGAACTCACATTGAGCTGAAGTTCATCTGTCCACTGACCAATCAGACGGTAGCCGGGGTTCGTGGTGTTGGTTGTCTGGTACTGAAAGATGTCATACCGCCCCGGAGCATCTCCGTTCTTGTTAAACATGACCGGGGTGCCAGCGCTCCCTGCGGAAGGCAAGACAGTGACATGTTTTAGAGTGAAGCAAGATTCCTTCCATCTCTTATGCCACTGGTGATGATCCAGAGACCTGCTAATGAACAACGTAGCTAATACATAACCCCAGTGTTTAACAGGTTCCCCCAAAATGGTCTTGAAGGCTCAGGGTAAGTTACCACTGGGCCTGACAGATGCTATTGACAGGAGGTGGGAAAACAAACGGCCTCTTTTTATGAGCAGTTCTGTTTCTCAGTACTTCTTAATATTTCACTCTAATATTTTTATTGTGGAGAATAAAAATAAATGACTTTCTGGAGTACTTCAAGTTCATTATAATTAATTAGTACTGTTTAGACTCCAACCACCTAAATTGTGATCAGAAAGAGTCATTTGTAAAATAATAAACAAATACATAAACTTAAATGGGGCATGCCAGATTTAAAACAAAAGAAAACAAAACACACAAACACACACACACACAAAAAAAAAAAACAAGCAAAAAAGTTTACTTAAAAGGTACTCAGATACTGATTACATTTATAATTTTTGGGGGTGACTATTTCTAAACTAGTGGCCCGGTGCATGAATTTTGCAGGCCCGGCTGACCCAGCCCTGGCAGTCTAGGCTGCCTTGTGGCCCTGGGGCCCTGCCACTCAAGCCCCACTGGTTGTCAGGAAGGTTGTTCTGCTGTCCAGTTTAATTAGCATATTAGCTCTTTATTATATAATATTACTTTATATGATGAACAGTGTAAAATGCTTAGCAGTGTGCCTGGCATGTGTTTTATAAATATTAATTTATTTCTCAATCTTTCATTTGAACCTCACATGATTAAAATGTTCATTTTAAGAGGAAACCAATAGATTTGTTTAGAGTATGCTAGAGAGATAGAAAGCTAGAGAGTAAAAAAATAAAAAGAAAAGTATATATATATATATATATATATATATATATATATATATATATATATATATCTTTGAAAGTGGGATATGAACAAAAAGTCCCTTAATAATCAATCCCATGGAGCAATTGGCAAGCCACATACAGAGAATGAAAACTTGTGAATTTGGGTTAGTTTCAGAAACAGTTGCATAGGAATCGCCAAAAGTTTGGTCACTGGATGCAGTTTCTCTCCCTTGGATTCGCCGGAAACAGGATAGAGGTGGGTGGTCTCAGGCGTGAGGCTGATCTCTGCTCTGGATAGTCATCAAAACAAACAGTGCTCTAGTCCCTGCCTTTTACAAGGAAGTTTACAAGCTGAAATAAAATCACTGGGAACAGAAGTTCATTTGGCTATTTTGGGAGAGGAGGATGAAGCACTGTTGTGAATTCTGGTTATAAATTAAGACTCATGGTGGCAGAGCTCTGCATCTGGCTAACACAATCATCAGCCTCTGCAGCATTTGGGCCATGGCGGCATTTACATTAATGACCTACATGAAAAGCAAAAGCATGTGAACTGGAGGGAGGCAGTACTTCAAGGTAGGAATAGATGCCAGCACTTAGGAAGCAGGCAAGATGGTGAAACAGGCCACACACAAGTGATTACTCAACACAGGAAGGGAGTCACAGAAAATGTCCAATCAGAAGAATAAGAGGCAGACAAGACTGCAATCCTGTGCTAAAAGTGACTCCTATGGGGAGGGTTTGTCCAACATTATCGGCGGAGTATAGAGGCAGCTAAAGAACTCCACACCATCTTACAACTATTAGACACAGGATTTTATGACATTTCTAGTACTAAATTAAAAAAATAGAGCCGTGGTAGGCTGAATAATGGTTCCCCAAGACAGTCCATGTCCTAATTTCCAGAACCTGTGGTTGTTACCATTCGGGGCCAAAGGGTTCTTTCATTGATGGCATTAAGGATCATGCGGGGCAGGGGGGGGATTGTCCTGTATAATCTGGGTGGATCCAGTATAATTATAATGGCCCTTAGAAGTGAGAGGCAGCAGGAGTCAAAGGAGGAAGGAGATGGGAAGATGAAAACAGGAGGTTGGAGTGATGGAGGCAGGGGTCATAGCCAAAGAGAACGAGTGGCTTCCTGCACACACCTCAACCAGGACCAGGGGAAACAGAGGAGCCTGCAACTGAGGTACATGCCCTTAACTGGAATTGATCCCATCACTCTTCGGACTGCAGGCCAACGCTCTATCCACTGAGCCAAATTTGCTAGGACATATAGTTGTTTTTATTTTTACCATTGTTTTATTGGCTGATATCTCAGGACCAGAACACATGCCTTCAGATACCCACACTTTCCAATGCGCTAAAGCTGACTCTCCTAATGGGCACCTAATTTCAATTTCTCCATCAGGATAAGCATCTTCCATTTTCCAAACAGCAGGCTAGAGCCCACTGAGAGAGAGGGCGTGATCTATGGGTTATGCAGGTGTGGTCTCCCCAGCTTGAGCCAGTGGCTGAGTTTGTCCAAAAGCAACACATCAATTTGTTTCATCAAAATTGTACCTAGACACTACCCTCAGAGCCCATGAAGACAACTGCTGTATCCCAATAGGATCTCTGAAGCTCTTTATATAGGAATCAAAGGAGCCTTTCCAGTACAGATGGAGGAAAACAAACAAAGATAAGTTTTTAATATTGGCTTTCTACAGTGAGCCTTCCAAGTATATAAGAAGAACAAACAAAGTCTGCATTTTACATGTTATCAGCCAGAAAATAACCCTATAATTTTGCAGGAAGACAGTGATATTCACATACTCACCTTTCTTTGCTTTCACATTGGGTACTAGGATCTCCTGTAATTGTATAACTTCTAGTCATTATGCAATACGATGAGCTTTTCGTTGTCTTCCAGAGGAGAGAAGAATATGGGAGGCTTGGGGCTCCGAAAGATTTCAGGCTCACCAGCTAAATATTCACCAGAATGGGACACACCATCTAATGGCTCTCATCCTACAATCTTTGTTAGGCAAAATGCCTCGTGTCATGCCCTTTCCATTATCATTAAAGTTCATGCTTTAAAAATTAAGACAGAAGAGCGGAACACTTTATCTAAGTGATGACTTGTAATAGCGTATGTGGTTTTGACCTTTCTGATGGATTCTCTAAAGCTAATGGATTATTATTTCCACAATACTTTTTAACAGCTTCCCTGGATTTTTTTTTAAACGAGAAAATAAGGGGATTATGTTCAATGAATTCTATACAGGGATGGACAAAAGTAGGTTACATAATACAAATATTTATACAATAATTAGCACTGGCCAGGTTGTCAGTTGGTTAACTGGTCATCCCCATATGCCAAGATTGAGGGTTCGTATCAGGTCAGGGCACATAGAAGAAGTAACCAATAATTGCATGGATAGGTGGAAAACAAATTGATATTTCTCTCTTTCTCTCTCCCACTTCCTCCCCCCCCCCTCTCTCTCTCTCTCTCTGTAAAATCAAACAATATTTTTTAAAAATACAATAATTAATAATACAATAATAAACTTTTAAATACTTTCAAGTATAAACCTACTTTTGCCCGCCACCATATAAAAAGGGGGGGGGGATCACAGAGGTCCAGAGAAAGAAATTATCAAAGAAGAAGTGGTCATCTGTAGAAATGTCTCCAGCTGTCAGGACGGGGATGCCAGTGAACTGAGGTAGTGGAAACAGGGTCTCGACAAGATGGGATAATGAAAGGCTGGATGATAGGACGTACTCAAGTCTGAAATCTCTATTGGGTCAGAGTATCTGAATGGTGGTGCCCTTTCTTCCTGGTAGAGAAGAACCTAGGATCTAGATTGCTCAGGTGTCCAAATATTATAGTCCCCTGCCTCAAGGTATTTACAAGTTTCCTGTTCTCACTTTCCCACCCCATGTACAGATTCCAGAAACATGGCACTGATTTGTATTCCACTTATCTAGCTCTGCTCAGCACACTACCCTAGACCTTTGTGCTCCAAATAATAACAACCCATATTTTGCAATTTGGGCAGGGCTTGAGGTCAGCACCTATGGCCCCCTCATCTCAGCTGGGCAGCTTGAAGCCCACATGCTTCACAGTTGCTGCCAGCTGTCAGCTGGGACCTTAGCTGGGGCTGTGGTAGGAACACCCACATGTGGCCTATCTATTTGGCTTCCTCCCAACATGGTAGCTGTGTCTGCAATACAAATGTCCTGAGAGAATGAGGCAGAAGCTTCTTCACTTGTGTGCCTTAGAAGTGTCACTTCTACATCAGTCACAAGCTCAGATTCAAGGGGAGGGAACATAGAGCTCACCTCTTGACAAAGGAAAGCTCACTTCATATTTCATGTTTCAAAAAGAGCACATTGGACCTGGCCAGGTTGGTTGGGGCATCATCCCAAACATCATAAGGTTGCAGGTTTCATTCTGGGTCAGGGAACACACCTAGGTTGTGGGTTCCATCGCCAGCTGCGGTTCCTATACTAGTTGGAAGCAGCCAACTGATGTTTCTCTCTCTGTCTCCCACTCTTCCTCCCTCTCTAAAAAATAAAAAGGTATGTTCCAGTGAGGATTTAAAAAAAAGCATGGTTTGGCTCAGTGGATAAAGCGTCCGTCTGCAGACTGAAAGAACCCAGGTTCGATTCCAGTCAAGGGCATATACATTGGTTGTGGACACATCCCTGGTGTGGAGTGTGCAGGAGGCAGCTGGTTGATGTCTCTCTCTCATTGATGTTTCTAGCTCTCCATCTCTCTCCTCTCCCTTCCTCTCAGTAAAATAATCAATAAAATATATTTTAAATAAATAAATAATGCACATATGTGTCATCTTTACAAAATATACTGCAACCCAATCTGTCTTCTGGAATCTAGTAAATATAGATACAGACACATCCCAGATTAAATATGCTATTATATAGCAATTCTCTAAGATGTTGTATCCAAGGCAACAAGTTTATTAAATTTTCATCTATAGGTATTGACATCTGCTTACATGGACCAATGTAGGTATAACCACATAAATCAAATTTAAGCTCAGGTCATTGCATCATTTGGGATGCGAAGAAAAACATGGCCAGAAGCGATGAAGATAAAATAAGTCATCTTTTCTCTTGGTGCATCACAAGAAGAGGTTAAGTGCTTGTTAAAACTATAGCAATATTTTCAGGACATTCTATTATGATTTCCTAAATTGATGCTTTTGTAAATGTGAGGGTCAGAGTTATTAAACTGTGCTCTATTGGTCTGGAACAAAACTCCTAGGGGTGCAGAAAGTTTTGTAGTAAAGTCACAGAAGAGAACACTTAGGCCTAGTTGAGACCAAAAAAAAAAATCAAAAGCCTACTAAAACATGCTAAAGAAAGGCTATTTTTCACAACTGATTAGAAGAGATTTGCTTTCTAGATCTGTCTCTGTCATTTGCTAACTGAGTTTTGAACACATATTTTTCTCCTCTCTAGTATTTTATTTATTTACATAAAAACCAAGAAATTAAATGAGTGAAAAATGGCAAATTTCTTTTCTTGAATAGCTGTTCACTTAAAGGGATATGGAATCCATTAATTAAATCTAGCCCAGGTTCTGTTTTATAAAACTGCTGAGCCCCACCATCAACAAGTGTCACAGTGCCTTAGGAGCCAGAGGTCTCTGTCCTTCCAGTGGAAAAAAGTCCTCAAAGAAAAGACGATTATGTGGACCACAGGGCAAGATTGCAATGGTGACAAAGAGAAAAAACAAACAAACAATTGATGCTGCCTGTGACCTTCCACAGAGCATCCACGCTAAGATGAAGCAGGAATGAAGTAGTCAGCCCTTCCTCTCAGGCATTTGCAGGGACAGCCTGTGGGGTTAGGTGCCCAAGGACCAGTGCAGCAGCATCAATACCCAGATGTGTAGTTCTGACTATCATGATTCTTAATTCTCTGTGAAGTTTCCTTATCATACAAAAGGGTAAATAATAGTACCTACACATGTTGGTGTCCTAAATATTAAATAAGCCAACACAGGTATGTAGCACATTTTCTGGCACACAGTAATCATTCCATAAACATGAGTCCTGTGTCTCATCCGTAGCTCAGCATCTCTGGCTCATCAATGGACAAGACCATTTTGACAAAATGATTCTACGAAGAACTATATGGAAGAAGAATGGGGGAAGAGTCACCAAGAACAGTCTCAAAACAATAATTTTGGTCACTCTTGTAAGATTGGTTATGCATATCTATGAACCAGAATACAAAGCCCAGAGACTGGCCCAGCTAATGGAATTTAGTGTTTGATAAATAATGAAATTTACATGTATCTGTCTCTGGGAAAATGAATTCTATATTTTAGGAGATTCAGTAAAATCAGGAAGACACTATAAAAATAAGATCATTTGTAGTTAGACTACTTTCTGGTTTTACACAAAGTCATTTTGTCTCCATCTAAACTAGAGAACTGTTGATCCCCAAATAGGGTGTGGTTCCTTTTCATCCAAATACTAGAGAACTCCTGAAAGATTGATATAATATTGTGGGATTAAGTAGATTGTTGCTTATAAGCAAAAAAGAGAGAAGTTTCCTTTAACCTTAATATAATCACCTGAGCCAGGAAACTAATCCTATCTAATAAAGATGGAATATGCAAATTGACCATAACTCTGTGAAAAGATGGTGGCACCCATATAAGGAGAAAATATGCAAATTGTTGTGTCAGGGCAAGAGGTGGAAGGTGGCTCTGGCCAGAGATGCTGCCCTATGGATGAGACACAGGACTCATGTTTATGGAATGATTACTGTGTGCCAGAAAGTTGCTACACACCTGTGTTGGCTTACAGTCTACAGAGAGAAGGCTGAAAGGTGGCGCTGGTGGGAGCAAAGGTGGTGCCATCAGACAGAAAAAGGAAGGCCTATTCTTGCATGGATCTTTATGCACCCAGCTTCTAGTATTGCTATAATACTACTTAAAATTCATCTGCAAATTTTATTAAAATTTCTCCATTGTCTCACTAGTGTCCTTTTTCTGGATCAATTAATTTTCCCACACGTCATTTAATAGTAATGTCTCCTTAGTCTCTTCCAGTCTGGGACAATTCCTCCTCTGGCCTTTTTCATGATGTGAATACTTTTGAAGAGTACCAGTCAGTTACTTTGTCCTCTGTCTCCTTATGATTAGATTGGGGCATGTATTTTTGACAATAAGACCTTAGAAGTGTTGCTGTTACCTTCGCATATTAAGGTTGAATCTGAAGGCCCCGTATAAGTCTTGAAGCCTGAGAAGCAGGAGCACCCATGTCTGAGGGCAGGAGCAGAGGGAGAGAGAATTTTTCCTTCTTCCTTCTGGGTCTTTTCAGGTGCTGGAGGAAGCCCACCCATCTTGGGGAAAGCCCTCTCTCTTTCACTCAGTTCAACAAGTCAAATGCTAATCTCTTCCAGAAACACCCTCATAGATGCACCCAATGGCACTTCTTTGCAAGCTTCCTGAGCATCACTTTGCCCAGTCAAGCTGCCTCATAAAATTAATCATCACATGGTTAACTAAATTCAATGCAATCATGAATAAACCTTACTAGATTGCAAATTAAAAACAGAACTACACTGAAGAGAGTGAGGAAATAAATAAAAAATGAATGCAAATATTTTAGGAAGACAGTATTTGAGTAAATACTATAAGACTGGAGCCAAAAATAACTATAGAGATAGTGTACACTAACTAATAAATATGTGTGTGTTTCACAGTTCTGAATTTATATTCACTGAGGAAGAATTTGACTTCATATAAAAACCTATTTTAAGGAAAGGAAGACAAACCATTCTCCCAAATATTTATTCACTCCTTCACTCACTACTCTCTCACTGCCCACTCATTCATCATATATTGATTCAATCTTTAAAATTAGATAATCAGCCAGGTTTTGACACAGACTCAAGAGTAGATAATCATTCAATATGTAAGTTATAAAGCAGAACGCCAACCCAGGACTCCTCAAAAACACCGATGTTTGGAGACTCACCGTTGAAATTAACGTTGCGGATGTACTTTAACAACTTCTTGCCCCCAGCTTGCTCCATCTCCGGACAGACGCCCCGGTAGTCAGCACAGAGATCCTTGTTCATGTGATGCAGGGCGTGAGCCATCGCATAGACTGCGTCAATCACGAACTGAACTTTCCCCTCCTGCTCATAGTTGGAATCTTTTCCAATTCTCTCCTGTCCTGCACATGAAAACAAGAAGCACACAAAGATTGGCGTTGAGTAGAATGTCCAAATTTGTCTTTACTTTTAACTAGGCTTAAAGCAATTAATGTTATGAGGTCTAGGACAGTGCAACCCACATAGCCATGTGTGACCACCATATTAGGTAGTTTTTAGTAGTGGACTTTGGGGCCTATCACACTAATCTTTCCTATCATTATTACACGAATGTCAGAAATGGCCACTACACTACTCAAAATGTGGTGGTCCCAGAGAATCAAAGGGTCACTGGGATTAGGAGCTGGGCTGTTACATGCAAATCTTTAAAGCTTACTTACTCTAGAAAGGTCAGAGGCTGAAATGAAAATGATGGAAAACAAATAAAATTCCACATGGAACTCACTACCTTCTATACTCACTATCTACTCCATTCACCTTCTGGGTTGACTGTCTGATTGATGGTATTATTGGGAACTCAGATACTTGGGCTAAAAAATCTGGTATCATTTTTCATTGTTTCCTGACTAACTCCCCATTAACCACATATATGTACATGGAGCTAATGAGTTGCCAAGTTCCATCAGTTCTACCTCTGATACACTGAACAGTTTTGGCCAAACTAAAAATGCCCTATCTAAGGGCTCCTCATCTTCCATCAGGATGCAATGCAACATGTCTCCATCTACTCATCCCTCTGTGTCCACCTTTCCTACTACAAAGCTAACCACTTCATCCCCATTCTCCAAATGCTTCAACGGCTCTCCATTGCCTCCAAGCCCTTTCCACTGACAACTGAGAATGTTCATCCCCATCTGCCTGGTAACAGTGAGAACAGACATTGTGTCCCCAACCCCACTATGCTGGAAGCTTTGCATACATTTTTTTCTAGCCTCACTTTGTGAGATAAATATTATTTGTCCTCATTATCCAGATGGGAAAGCTGAGCCTTACACAGACTAAATCATCTTTTCATGGCCATTTACAGGAATTACAGACAGATAAATGATGACCATTCAGGCTTGTCAGGCTCCAAAGCCTTGTCCCTATGTTAGCCTACCCTAGGTTTTCCCTACATTTTTTTTTATTGCCAGACAGGTACACTTTTTTTTATCATTGTTCCAGACAGGTACTTTTTCATTGTTGTTCCAGACAAGTATGGCTATTTTTTTTCCTGAATACATCATAAACTCCAATGTTAGACATTCTTTGCTCATGCTCCTTACTTTGCTAGAAATGTCCTTCCCACTTGCTTTTGCCCATCATAATTTAATAGTCTCTCCAGGGAACAATTCAATGGTAGCCTACACTGAGCCCCTCAATCACAATGAAAGATTTTACAAAACACTTCCAATATTTATTATAAAATTAATAATAGCACTATATTTTAATGCTCTAACATCCATCTCCCAGACTTTCATTTCTTTTCTTATTCCCAACACTGAACAAAGCATTTAGTATCCAGCAGATGCTAAACAACAGTTACATTAAATTACACAGTCACTTAGTTCAAGGTACCAGGAACGCTTCAGACCTCTTGTCCCTCCATGAGAAATAATGAGCCACTGATCGCCTTCCACTTTCACAGCGCTAATCCCCAAATTGTTTCCCACAGTGCATTTGTGTAGTGAAGACACAACAGGAATTCTGTGCCCCATCATATTCTCCTGAGAAGGGTTCCAACAGTTACATAGTGGTAGACTTCTTTACCAGAGAATTGTTTTGGAGCCTTTACTACTATAAAAAAGTATAATTTCTAAGAAGAAAACTCAGACTTTCCCAAATTTACTTGAATTTGCATCTTTCCTTTTCAGAGTACACATCACTATCTTATAATGCAGACCTTCTGTGGTTTTTGTTACATTTAAATATCAATCAACTGATGCTCACTGCTAGTCACTTGAGTTAGGCCTTTCTGCATGTTTAGAGAGGGATTTTTTTTAAATGAAGTTTTTTATTGATTTTTAGAGAGAGAGAAAGGGAAAGGGAAAAAGAGAAACATCAATGTGAGAATGCAATACCAATTGGCTGCTTCCTGCCCACCCTCTACCAAAAATTGAGCCCCACAACCCAAACTTGTGCCCTGACCAGGAATTGAACTGGCAACCTTTTGGTGCACAGGATGACACCCAACCAACTGGGCCACACAGGCAAGGGTTAGAGTAGGAATTTTCATTTTTAAGGTAAAATTCCTCATGAATTCCTACTGCTACTTCCAATTCAAACCAGGACTACAGGGCATTTTCTAACACCGCTGCCTCCCCTTTTTCAGAGAAAAATGCTCATTCTTAATGATACCATTATGATTATTCACTCATTTTATCCCATGGTATGCAGATAACATTTTCAGAAAAACAATCATGTCTAACAGTCTAAATAATGTAATGTAATGAAAATGCTTGGGCAAATATGTGCTTTTCAATTTTTGTCTGGGTATTTTGGTGATAGATTCTGAGAAGTGAGGCTGCATTGTTAAAGAGTAAATTCATATGTGTTTTTGCTAATTATTGGCAGATTGCTCTTTAACAGGTTTGTACCATCTTGCTTTCCCACAGGCAAAAGATGAGTGTGTTCATTTCCCTACCACCTGGCCACCAAGTATATTGTCAAACTTGTATCATCTTTAATCAGACATGAAAAAAGATGCTACTACTGTATTTTTATTGGAAATTTTTCTTATTTTGGGGGAAATTGAACATCTTCCTTTAAAAGAGCTATTGTACTTATTTTTCTGTCTGTAATTTAGTCCAGTGGTTGGCAAACTCATTAGTCAACAGAGCTGCAAACCGTGGCTCACGAGTCGCATCTGGCTTGCCAGCCACAGTTTGCCGGCCACAGACTTAGCCAATTGTTGTAAAAAGTTGGTCATTTCACTATCTTTAAAGGCTTTTTATTAATTAAACATATTAATTCCTTAAGATTAAGTACAGCTATTTTTCCCAGTTTGTAATTTTTTTTAAATTTACGTATTTCTTTTAAAAATAAAATTACATTAGGTAAAAATTGTGTGTGTGTTTTTTTAATTATCGGTTTCTTTTATTATTATTGCTTCTGGATTTTCAGTCATGTTTGGGAAGAAATGTCCCCATTCTCAGAGTATAGAAGATCCATGTTTTCTTCTAGAATCTGTTTTTTACAGATATATACCTGATCCACTTAAAATGTATTTTGGTATACAGTATGAAAAATAAATAAAAATTTATCTTTTCCACATAGCTCTTCAGTTAAAACATATAACAGTTTAGCCTATATAATAAAAGGCTAATATGCAAATTGTCCACTCAACCAGGCATTTGACCAGCAGGCAGGCCAGCCAACTGCCCATGTCCCCTCCCCCTGGCCAGGCTGGCCAGACCCCACCCATGCACAATTCATGCACCAGGCCTCATATATATATATACACACACACACATACACACACACACACACACACACACACACAGAAATCATAATCTGGCCACTCAGTGTGTGTGTGTGTGTGTGTGTGTGTGTGTGTGTGTGTGTGTGTGTTGCAGTGTGTAATATCACTGTTTTTTTTGGTCATAGACATAAAAGCTATTCTTTGTTTTATTGTGGTTACTATTTCTCAACTCTCATGAAACATTTTAAACATAATGCAAGTTTGAAAGAATTTTCCAGTGACCCCACCATCCAGACATTTTACTATTCTTATTTTACAGGGCCATTCATTTTACTAACATTCATTTTAAAACCTGCTACTTTACAAATTTCTCTTATAATTTATAGTACTTCAAAGAGGCAATCTTGAAGGCATTATGACCACTATAAAATATATACTATGAAATGGGTTCAGACTAATAATTCAGGAGAGCAGTTTCTGAACCGCACTCATAAAGACATTCATCCCAGAAAGAATGCCTTGAAAAATAATTGCATTGTTTTAAATAATGAGCAGTTTTATTATTTGTGAAATACTGCTGGCTTTATCCCTCTCTTGGAGAGACACCAGGTACCTTAGCATATTAAAGGCTCTAAGACTTGAGGGATAGATTTGTCTTTGGGGTTGTCAGGACTAGAAAAAAAAATGTACCCTTATATATCAAGAAAATCAGAAGTGACCAGTTCATAAAAAAATAAAATAAAATAAAGTTACTTGCCCTGCTGTGGCAGACACAACTGTCTGTCCCTTCCTGAGAGTCTCTGCTATCAGAACTCTATTCTCTAGAACTGTGGCCTACTGAAGGGTGAGCGGTTCTGGACTTCTTTTGAGCCTCACTGAGTCGATTCTGTTTGTTTAACCCAATCCAATTTCTCTCCCCAAGGGCTAATGTAGGACAGGCATGGTATCTAATTCTAGCCAGTGAGATGGAAGAAAGGAGTTTAGTTGGGAGCTCCTGAAAGACTTTATTTGCTTTAAAAATAAAATGGCTCAATTGTATCAAAAGCAACACACACACACACACACACACACTAACGTTGAAGTTACTCTAGTCACTTGGTGGTCCTGAGGAAATTACACAGCATGAAAATGACAGCAGAATAAAAATGTGTTAGAGATATGAAGATACAATTGAGCTGTGAGTTGCCAAATATTTTTCAAATTCTTTGAACACTACACTTCTTATCCATACACCACTTTATAACATTCTAAGGGACAAGCCTTAAGCATGACTCCCCCACAAACAAAATGAAAAAGTGAAATGCAGTTTTAAAGTGTGGCGATGCCCTGGCCTGCATGGTTCTGTGGTTCTGTTGAGTGACTCTCCTCTGTGCACCAAGAGGTCCCTCGTTCGATTCCAGGTCAAGGCACATACCCAGGTTTGGGGCTAAATCCCTGAGGGAGGTAGCTGATGAATGTTCTCTCTCTCTCTCTCTCTCTCTCTCTCTCTCTCTCTCTCTCTCTCTCTCTCTCTCTCTCTCTCTCCCTCCCTCCCTCCCTCCCTCCCTCCCTCCCTCCCTCTCCCTCCCCCCTTCTTCTCTCTCTAAAAGATTCAATAAAAACATATATGAAGAATAGAAAGCATGATGATTGAGACATGGGTGAAAGGAAGATGAGGGGGTG